GACATCGCTGACCAAAATACGGACACCCAGTGTGATGCTTAGGGCACCCACAGTGACCAGCCCAGTTGCACCAAGGATAACCAGAGGAGGAGGCACCTGGTGTTGCTGTCGGATCAGCCACAGACTCATCCACCCCAGAGGCACCAGGCGGAAGAGGGCCAGGGTGGCCAGGGTGGCCCAGCTGGCCATGCGGAAGGCCAGGGATGGGGCCTGGTGAGAAAGCAGCAGCAACTGTCGTAGGTGCAGGCAGGCAGAGTTCAGCTCCAGGAGCAGAGACACCATAGAGAAGCCCACATAGTGGCTGGACAGAATGGCAGTGCTGAAGCAGCTCACTACCTGGGGAACCGGGGTCAGAGGTCAGAGGACCCTCCATAACCTTCCCCCCCCATCATGTACCAATATCCCAGGCCTTAAGACAGGGGTCCCAAGCATTTTGTGGCACCCTATCAAAAACCTGCCCTTTATACTTACCCTTATGTTGGGGCCTGAATGGCCTTAAAATAACCCTTCCACGGGATAGAAGCAGCCTTGGCCCAGAGGCTGTCTCCTCTGGGGCAGCAGCAGCATCTGCACACTTCCATTCCTGGGCTTTCATGCCCCATGCCCACTCCCTATACTGGGCCTCCCCTTTCTCAGAAAAGCTCCATATGCAACATTCCTGCAATCAGATGGGACACCTGAGGGAATCCAAGCTACTCAGGCAGTGCCCGGACTCCAGCTGCAGCTAGCAGTCAATCCTTTCCCCGCCAAACCAGCCCAAGGTTGGGGAGATGAAGCACCAACAGGGGTCAGAGGCTCTGGGAAGTCATTGGACAGAAACCTGAAGACAAACTGGGGACCCCAGCCTGAGCATACCACCCTTCCTGTGTCTCCTTTCCCCAAGTCTCACCACCAAATGATGACACAGAAGTTCCCAGGCTTGGCGCAAGGTCTGGTTCCACAGCATGTCAACTCCATCCGCCAAGAAATAACCTATGGGCGTGGCACGAGGGGGAGGGGCATCAGGCCTCCCCTAAGTTGTACCTCCTGGAGAGGAATCTTCATCCCCTCCTTTTTCTGGGTCTTCAGTTTCCTCCAGCAAAGCTGCCAGAAACATTTGACCCCTATGGAGAGGGCAAAGGGGACGTGGGAAGTTACCATTGTTAGGTTGCTCCCCGACCAAATGGCCCGGCCTTCCCTGCAGACTCACCCACGGACACAGCCACCAGCACCAGGGCCCAGGGCGGGTGGCCGTGAATCGGGTCAGCAGCCATCTGAGGGTACAGCGACAGCCTGTAGGAGAGGGGGGACCACGGTCAGCATCGTGCAGACTCAGACCCCATTCTCCCGCTGTGCACGCTCACCCACCCATTCACACCCCCACCCGGTGTCAGACTGTCGAGGTCCGGCTTCGATTTTGAAGGTGCCCGCCGGGTCTTTCAATCTCAGCTTTCCACCCCTCACCCTCACCCCGGTGCCTCCCGAACCTCTGTACCCCGCACCCGAGCAGCGCCCCAACCCCTGTGAGCAGGCTGTGCAGCAGGGAGACACAGATGTTCCGCCACTTCCAACGGTCCTGGGCAGCAGATCCCGGCGCGGGCAGCAGCTGCAGCGCCCAGTGCAGCCCCCGGAAGGCGGCGAAGGAGGCGCCGGTCACAAGGAGCCCCCAGGACGCCATGGCCTGGCGGGCGGGCTAGGTCCGGTTCAGTCCCTTGGACCCCTGCGCTCTCAGCCGGGACTCATCCGATGCCAGCTGCAGGGGACTGTACGTTGGCTTCCGGACAAGAACCGGTCCTCGGCCTCCCCGGCCCACCGCGCCTCTGGCATCCGCTCTAACTTTTCCAGGGTTTGACCACGCCCCCATCACTCGGCTAGGTGACGATTGGAGCAGCCGTGGGGCCACGCCCCGGAGCCCGCGCAGCCGATCGCGTCCCGCCCCAGCCGGGGATGGAGGGTTGGGGGCTCCCGGGGGCCAAGCCTGGCGACCGAGCTCAGGGGCACTTCCAGCATGTCGATAGGGGTCTTCCCCAACGCCATGTGTCCCAAACCCCTCGGAGCTCCAGAAATAGGTTGCTAATCTCACCTGACACTCCCACAGGCCCCGCCCCATCGTCTTTCACCTCCCCTCGCCAAGCTAACCTCTCACCTGCTGGTCGTCCTTCTGCCCACTGCACCCTCACCGACCTGAAGGTAGAGGCCAGCGCACACCCACTCGCACAAGCTTAAACATCGCCACCGCCCTGCCCCGCACCACCCCCCGTCTCAGCTGTGAGGGCACCTCACTTCCTTAGAGCCACCCTTTCCACCTCCCGAGGTTTCCAGACCTTTAGCACAACAAAGCGACCCTATGATTCCAACAGTCCTGTTCCCTTACGCTGTACCTTCAAACAGAACAGCAGCTCCCATTTTGGAGAGGCGACCCACTGGGGACTCCTCCCCCCAACCACTTTTGGGGGCCTACAGAAGAGCCTTGCTATTAGGAAGGGGAGGCAGAAGGAAACCACTCAACACCGAAGTCTTGAAAAGCACCCCTCCCCCCAGAGCTTGGTACACGGTAGGTGAATAGAATTCTCTCTTCCAATCTGAGGCGGCAAGGAGAGGTCACCCAGGGTCACCTCAAGGTTGGGGCAGAATCAGAGAATAAACAAAGACTGACAGGATTCTAGGACCCTTCAGCCTGGAGAGGAAAATCTGCGCCCCTCCCCCTCCCCCATCTTCCAACTCCTGAAGAGTGGCAGGTTTTTACTGCTTTCCTTGCTCCACTCCACACCTCCTTAGCGGGCTGAAAGCGGGCAGAGCGCCGTTCCCGTACATGGAAAGGGTAGATTCCAGCTACTCCCAGAGAATGAAGTTGTCCACATTCTCACAACCCCTTTTCTTCACCAAAATCCCATTATGTCCAAAGGGCTAGGGGAACCCCTTGATTCCTCCACACCCACCTCTCCAAGCTTTTAAAAAAATTACACTGATTCTTTTAAATTTTATTACATGAAAACCATACACAATATAGAAAATTTTAAAGTTACAGAAAAGCCAGAGAGAAAAATTACAATGACTTTGTTCCACTGTCCAAAGGTAACTACTATTAACATTTTGTCTTTCTCATCTGTTTTATGTATACAAGAATATACCCATCTTTCTAAAAAACAAAATTGAGATCACATAATACACTCTTTTTATAACCTTCTTAATATTCAAAGAGCATTTTTCTTTCCAGTCAAATGTTCTTCTACAGGACTTTTAATGGCTGTGCAGTACTCCACCATCTGGATGGATATACAGTGATTTACTTAAGCAATCCCCCATTGCAAATTTTCATTACAGCAGAAAAGAAATGAATTCCCAATCAGACAGTTGCTTCTCATTTTCTCTATTGCAATACTGGGATGAGCATCTTGTGACTAAATCTTTAATTATTTTCTGAGGATAAATTCCCAAATGTAGAATTACTAGGTCAAAGGCGATGGAAACTTCTAGGGTATTTGAGACACATTACCAAACTGACATCCAGGAAGGCCATACCAATTTGCACCCCCATATGCAATGTATGGAAGTGTTATTTTAGTATTTCTTTGCCAATACCGGGTCTTTCTTTTTTTTTTAAATATAGTTTGCTAAGGGAAAAATGCTTTCAGCTATATTTGTCTTTCTTTAATTACTAATGAAACACACTTTGTTTTTCATGGTTTTATCCATTTGAATTTCTTCTATGAATTTCCTGTATGTCCTTTCACAGCTGGTTCTTGCTCCTTGAGGCTGCTTTATATAAAAATTACAGGGTAGGGAGGTGGGAGAATGAAGCCACAGGACACTTTAATACAGTCTCGTATCTCTGAGGGAGGCAGTAAGTAACACTGGAGAGAAATAGTGAATGAGGCAGATGGCTGGGAGCGGGCTGTCCTCCCTCCTCCTGGGGTGCTCCTGCCCTTTATGGGTCCCCTCTGTGGGGTGCCCAGACAGGGCCCTGTGCTCTCCAGGCCTGGTCCTTCACTGGTCTTCCGCCTGCCTCTGTGTTCCCAGGCTGCTCTTCCTCATCTTTACTTCACGATGGGTGAGGATGGCAGAGCCACATACCCGGGGCTGGAGGGAGACACTGTGGCCAGTGAAGCGGGGAGGGGAAGAAAGGATGGAAGCAATGTCCAGGGACAGAGCAATCTTTGTTGCAGACTATGAGTTGACTCAGTCTACCCACCCCCTCCACCGCAGTCCCAGACACATCCAGCTTAGGCTGCAGGAGGGTGGGTTCAACGATCTACTCTCCCCTAAATCTGTTTCTCATAAATGGAGACTAGGACCCTGCTATCTCCACACCTCCTGCTCCACAACAGGACAGCTTCCTACAGCCCCTGAATTTGGCCACCTTCAGGCAGGGAGACTGGGCCACGGTTGAACCACACCAGAGCCTGAGCCCCAAGAATTAGACTGCATCAGGAACTGGGGGGTGGTAGGTTTATACTGCTTGATGCCCTAAAGGGGGTCACATCCCATAACCCACCTCTCCTCGTTGCTGGAGAGAACTGTCTGCCTGCACAAGCCGGAGCAGGGTCTCACAAGTTATCCTGGAAGGTAAAGTGAGGGAAGAAACAGGAACAGCAGTTGCAACCCCATCAGGGGCTGCAGGCCTGTTTCGGGTGGCAGAGGAAGCCTGGGGCCACCTTTGCATGGTGGGATGTCAATGGAGAGACTGTGCTCCTCCCGGCCCCTTGCACTGGTCTAACCCTAGGCCCCCACCCTCCTTGGGTTATGGTGTTCACAGATGGGGGAGGGGCAATAGCTTATGTGAAAAGCTGTTTTTGTTCCCACCCACAGGGAGAGGACAGCCCAGGCTCTGAGTAGTCTGTAGAAGTAGGCTTCTGATTCCCTCCTGCATACTCAACCGTGTGACTCCCCTTCTCACAGGTGGAGAAGCTGAGACAAGAGGTCTAAGGGTCCCACACATAGGTGATTATCCCTCAATCTAGAGTCTAGGCCAGTCTAAGGAAATAGAGGAAGAAGTAAGAGCATGGGGATGACTACTCAGATGGGAGTTTCAGTATGGCCTTTTTCCTGAAGAAGAAATTTACTTTGGACCTCACCTGGAAAGGCAGTAGGAAAAGAAAGGGAGACAAGGAAGGAGGGCCAAGAAAGACATCTGGGTAAAAGGGTAGACAATTTTCTTTGCTTCTGTTACCCTCCTCTTGTCACACCAGTGTAGACCAACTATCCTTGGCTGGTCACAGCCATCTATTCCCCAAACCAACCAGGGTCTCTAATCGAAAATTGTTCTTTCTTGCTGGGCCAATCTGGCCGAAGGCTCTCCAACTGAACAAGGTCCCCTTCCCTCCCACTGTTTGGACCTTCCCAGCCCCAGTTCTGTCACCTTCCAGATGAAGGGGAAAGCAGCTCCTTCTCCTCTTCCTCCTCCTCCTTGAAGCCAGGGGCAGAGGGCAACAGTTCTTCAACTGGCAGCTTTAGCTGGGTCAGGACATAAAGCTTGCCACTGAAGAACTACTGCGGCTCAGCCAGGTGAGGATGTGGGAGGGACAGGCTCCTAAAAGGAAAAGGAAGAAAAAATGGGAAGGATCTGAGCAGGGCCATATCACAGGGACACTGTCCCACTGGCCATCAAAGCCCAGCTCCAACAGATGCTCAACCTTGTAACAAAGCGTTCTTCACTCTGACCTGGGCCTGCAGGAGCGGTTAACTTCAGTAAGAAGCAGGAGGCAGCTCTAAACATAACTTCCTTGTGCCTCTTTCCAGAACTGAAGGCTGTAGGGACCCAGGCCTGCTCTCACCCCTCCTTGCCCCAGCTATCGATGGAGGGCCCAGCCTCTTCAGCATTCAGAGAGGGCTGGACTTAGAACCCTGGACACACTCCACCAGCCCAGGTGCTAGGTGAGAAGTTGCACCTTAGGTCCAGAAATGGGAGTTCAGTGATCAGGGAGTTCAGCTGGAAGAGTTTTGGGGGCCTACATCTGGGGAGGAGTGAGGCAGGGAGGAGGTCTAGAGTTTGGAAGGTCAGCAGAGCCTCCAGGGACTGTGAGGAGAGGACAGGGGACCAAAGGCTGGAGGGGAGGGAGGTATGGGCAGGGTGGATGGGCAGCTTCCCCAAGACTCTTAAATGCCAGGCATTCCGCTTGCGCATTCCGGGTACATCTGGTATGAATTCCAGGCTGTCTGCCGGCCCCTCCATGTCTGAACTTTGTTCCAAGTTCCAAGCCCCGCCCCCACAGTTCCAACGCATGAATCAGCAGGAAAAGCCGGGCCCTGCAGCATGGCCCAGGGAGGGGGCTGGGGGCGTGGCAGGCTTGAGGGCCGAGAGCTGGGGAGGGCGGGTCTGTGCTAACTCAGTCCAAGGGCATGGCCCATGCCAATGTGAGGAGCCAAAGGCAGTCTTGCCTTGAGACTTCTATACTCAGAGGGTAAGAAAGATTAGGGTGGGGGTGGGAGGTTTTCAAATTACAAAAACCCTCTTGGGGAGACATGAACTTTGTGGTATCTTCCTTTCCCCAGGTGACCAGTCCAACTCCTTCCCACTCTCCTCTGCCTGAGCCAGCTCTGTTCAGCCCATAGGACTCAACGGCTGCTCAGAGTCTGTGCCAGGCAGGTGCCCTTGGCTGCAGGGCGGGGTGGGCCCAGGGCACTGACCCTCTGACCAGCTGCTCCATCAACCCTTTGGCACCCTGACAATTCCTAGCCCAGTCTGACAGCCAGGATGACAGGCCAAATGATTTGGAGGCTGGAACTAGGGCCGGAGGGAGGTGGGGGCGATAGCCTAGCGAGAGGCCATAGGGAGGGGCCAAGAGTTGGCCGAGAGGTGGGGAGAGAGGGAGCCCAGTGATGACTAACCCAGGCGCCCCACCCAGCCAGCCGGCTTCCCAGGCGGTCAGGGCCAGGCCTGGGCTAGGGGCCCCACAACCGGACATGCTGGGGGGAGGTGCAGAGGTGACCTTCTCTGGGCCCAAGACGGCCAGTTAGGCTGGGGAGGGGGGGTTAGAGTTTCCAGGTCCTCCTCCAGCCCGCTTCCCCCACCAACCGCGGTGAAACCCTAACCTTTGGGTTGCATAAGGCCCCCGCACCGCCGCCCCCTACTCCTCTCCCCTCCCCCCTTACATAACATCCCCTGGAGGGAACGAGAGGAGGGGCCGACCCGCCCAGAGACCCCTTCCCTGCCAGGGCGCTCAGTTGGCCCTGACCAACTGACTGCCAGTAGAGGAAAACTACCTCCCCGCTACCCGCCCGGTCCAAATCCTCCCCAAGCTGGGAGGCCAGTTCTCGTATCCTCTGACCAGGAGGCGCCGAGGTTAGCTGCCCCCAGCCCTCTAGCCCCTCGTCTTCCTTCTAGCCACTCTGCAAAACCCTCCGCCACGACTGTCGTTCCGGACTCTTTCTTTAAACCTGCTGCCACACTACTCCAGCCAGTCCAGGCCCCCTCTCCCCAAAGGCTTCCCTGCCCCCGCCGCCCCCTTACCCCTCCCCCGGAAGGGCAGGGTGTGGCCACCAGGACCCTACTTTCCCCCATTACCCCATTAGCATGATTCCCTCCAGGGCGGCCGGGACCCCAGCTCACACCCACCTGGTGCTGGGTGGGGGGATTGCTGAGGGTAAGGGAGCAAATCAGTGCGTCCGTTCCCCACGGCCGGCGGCGCTGTGTCTTCCCTGCGCCCAGCACACACCGGCTCCAGTCCCCGATCAGCTGGCGGCGTCGTGACGCACAAGCTGCGATTGCACCGCCCAGGGCCAATCACCGCCCACTGCTGGGCAGCGTGACCACACCCACTCGGGGGCGCCAGCACTTCCCCCAGGTCCCGCCTCTCCGGGCGTCTTAGCTCTGATTGGCAAGGAGGCCACCCCTTTGCCTGGTGGAGCTGCGCTAGGCCACGCCCACCAACTCACGAGCTCGCCAATAGATGAAAGGGTGTGGCTGAGCCCTCCGCCTAAGGCCGCTTGCTTTGAGGAGCGCTACGTCAAACCAGAGTCCTAAAGAGCAGAAGGAAGTAAAGGCGTGTGTGTTTGCAGTGCACACTGGTCAATGTAGTTCTCGGTCTGACACCTCGTTCCCAGAATCCAGCGCGCTCTGTGAGTTGGCATTTTTAAACTCATTTCTGAATCCATCCCGGCGAAGTCCTTAAAGGGCTACAGCCCCTCCTTTTGGGAGCCGTGAGTGCTTCTTTTAAGACTACCCCAAAACGGATTCGCTGACTTCTGCGCATTAGGCAATAGCTCTCTAGGGAAAGATGGAGCAGGCGAAGCAGCAGGAGTGGGTAGAACTGAAGGTGGAAATCAGCCTCCAGGGCAGCAGGCTCTTCCATTGGATGAGGACCCCTGAGGGTTTTTGGGGAAGGGAAAACTGCCCACCTCGCCTGGTGCTAGCTTTCACTGGAGAGGTCTAGTCCTCCTCTCCTGGCGGGCTCTTACTAACCAGGAGACTTTTCTTGTAGACTATGTCTTGTCCCAGTCGTAGACAGAGCCTCTCAAGCAGCAGACTCCTAACAAAAGATTCATAGTACAGTCTTCACCTGAGGGTAGAAGCAAGACTTGTGGTTGGAAACTAGGGGATGGGTCGTGCCAAAGTGTCAACTGGTAAGCAACCCCATCCTCTGCCTAATACCCCATTCTGTCCCGCCCTCCAGAAGCCTTTCACTGACTCAGGCCTACTTAGAAGGGATTTCAAAGGTAGAGACCAATGAGGAAGCTGCCCCTTCCCCAGGGGCCAATCAGAGCCTTGGGGGGGCGGGGAGTGGGCAAAACCGAGAGGAACCCAATGACTTGGCAAAAGCTGCTATACCGCTTATTTAAAGGGGCAAGTCTGGGACCGGCGGCAATTTATCCCACCCCGCTCCCCAAAGACGAACGTGTGGACAGGGGGTCCATGACTTTTCCATAGGCTCCCAATTGAGTGTGAGGGTAACTGAGCCGGAAGGACGAGTCTGGGGTGTGAGATAGTTTCTCTGTATTAAATACGGGCTCCACCAAGTAATTGCTGTGGTTCCTAGGAGCTCCAGAATTTTGAGCCTGCGTTCAGAACATTGTGCCTTTAAGGAAACTTCCTGCCTTCCACCCCAGTAACAGCTGATTGTTGGAAAGTGTGACCTCAGGGGACGAATCAGCTGTTACCACATCCTCCTCCAGGTCTGCCCTCCTCCATCCCCTTATCCCCCCACCCCCAACCCGGCGCCTCCGCCCCAACCCTCTTGGGTCGTGAGGGAAGAAAGGAGATGGAACCCCAAATATGGGGTACCTGCTCGTATGTTCGTTCCTCTTTCACTGCAAGATTGTCTCCCTCCTCCCTCTCGCCCCCCCCACCCCAGATCTGCTGGTTTGTTCTTCAGAGGTTCTGAGCTTGGAACGAGAGGTATTTCCTGTCTGCACAGTCAGCTCAGATCTGCCTTCGCAGGTCTAGAAGGAGGCCAGTATTGGGGAAGCCCAGAATGGTGGCTGGCTGTGTGTGTGGGTGCTCCAGGAATGGGTGCTGGGGAGGGTCCAGTGAAGCAGCAAACCAAACCTAGAGGAGAGGAATGGCTGTGGAAAGCAAGCCTCCTGGGGTCAGAACCCTGCTCCCCAGGCCATTTGCCCCCTACTCCCTACTCAAGTTGCCCTATTCCTTCCCAGACTGGGACCAGCTATTGGCTTTGCCCATTCACTCCACTTTTAACCTAGATGCCACCTGGCCCTTGTTTTATTTACATTCTCACCCTCCACAGCAAGGGTTCTAATGTGGATCTTCAAAGGACTGCAGGTGGAAGGCACTGATCCCAGGAACCAGGGGCTTTGACTGGGAAGTCCTGCAGGAAGACCCAGGTAAATATTTTACCCCAGCCCTGAGCTGGGGAGTCAGGGTCATTCCAGGACAAACTTAGTGTGAAGTCCCAGGACTGACTTGGCAAGGTTGGGAGAAACTGAGCAGGGCCTTGGCCAAGCTTGGAAGAAAGAGAAACCTCACCAGCTGCCCCCATTATCCATTATCCTTATCTTGGAAGTCCCATCCCCTTCCTACTCAAGGCCTTTGGGGTAGGCCCATCCCCACTTTGTTCTGCTAACTCTCCCTCCCTTCACCCTCCCACCCCATAGGGCAAAAGCACAGGCTTTGAGTCCAGGGTTTCTCAACTTCAGCACTATTGACATTTTGGGCTAGATAATTCCTAGTTGTGGGGGCTGTCGTTTGTAGCATACTTAGCAGCATCCCTGGCCCACTAGATGAAATTAGCAACACCCCTACCCTGCAGTTAGGACAACCACAAGTGTCTCTGGACATTACCAGATATCCCCTGGTAGCCAGAATCTCCCCCAGTTGAGAATTACTGAATTAGACAAACTTGGATTCAAATTCCAGCCCTTAGCAGCTGTGAACTTGATGAAGATACTCAACATCTCTGCACCTCAATTTCCTCATCTACAAAAGAGTGAATAATAAATTCACGGTTTATTGTAGGTATTAAAAAAGGATTATATTTGGAAAAACACCTAGCACAATATCTGGCCCACAGTTGGTGCACTAAATGTTAGCTTCCTTCACTTTTCTCCCTGCCAGATCATCAAGAACTAATCTCACTCAGCCTGGGCTGACTGCCTGGGCAGCTGCAGCTTCCCTCCCTGACTATCCAAGCCATGACCTCCAGGAAACTCAATATTGAAGTTGGCAAAAGGGAGTGGCTAATTTGGTCCCAGATTCCCCAAAGCTCAAGGGTGCTTGGGTTGGGATTCCAGGGAAATGTGGGAATTGAGCTGTTACAAATCATTACATCAAGATGTGGCCTGCAGGTGGCCTGCATCAGAATGAACTGGGGTGCTTGTTAAAAATTCAGATTCCTGGGTCTCACCCCAGACTACTGAATCAGAAGTACATCATCAAGTTTAAAAACCACTGTTTTAGGCCTCGGATTGGAAAAGGAGTCAGTGCTCCAGAAATCTTAGTGCACCAGTGCCCGGCATTGTAAGGCCATCCTCTTCAAGGGAAGAAAAGAATCCTTAAGTTATGGTTAGTTACACTCAAGGTCATTGTTGTATTGCAACGGAACCACTAGAGGGCAGAGCACACACCGACTTCCAGGGAGAAAAAGCAACGCCTGCTCAGTCTGGGTAAACAGACCAGAGCAAAGACCAGGTGGACCCAATTTTATTGTTCCTTAGCAGCAGGCACTACCTTTTATCAAAACCCGTTCTCTTGCCTTCAGGTACTCAGACCAAATTTGGGGATGGAGATTGTCAAGGAACCCATAATTTTTCAGGTGAGAAAAAATAATACTGTATGGCCAAGGAGTACAGTGAACATTGGTTTTAGAATGAGATAGTCTGGGTTTGAATCTTGGCTCTACCACTTCTTACGTATGTGACCTTGGGCAAGTTACCTATGGGTGTCAGCTTCCTCATCCTAAGTGCTAATAAAAATATCTTCTTAAAAGGGCTGTGGCGGGAATTAAACAAAACAAGATACGCAAAGTGCTTAGCAGGGTGCCGGGCTCCTAATCAATGCTCCAGGAGTGATGGTTATAAGTTATTCCTGCCCAAGGCCACGTGACCAAGCACATCAGGGCTCCCGCTGCTTCAAGAAAGAGGATGCAGATGGAATCAGATCACAGCCAAGCCATTTGTTTCTTCTGTAATTAGGATTGTAGTTTTTCTTGTCTTTATGGATCCCCCAAACCTCTACACCAAACTCCTCCACAAGGCAAAAATCTCCTTCTAGGAGAGACTAAAAAAAAAAAAAACAAAAAAAACAAAACAGCCGGTGTTTTACTACAATGGCCTATCTGTCCTGCAAATGAGTCAGAACTGAGTTTTGGAGCCAGCTCTCTGGTTTCTGCTCCCTATCCTGTGCTGCATCCTGCCCCCACCCCCACCCCAGCCAAGGTAGCAACTGCAAGGCTCTGACACCTCAGAGTGAGATCTTCAACGGGAAGTCTTGGGGGAGAACATTTCTTCCCAAGAACTACAAGCATCTGGGCCTGGGACACTTCTCTCCCTCTCAGATCGCCCAGAATTTGAAAGAGAGTGAGCTGAGCCCCAAGAGGGCTTGGGAGGGGGAGAGGCGCGGAGGGAGTACTCTAGGGCAGAAAGTTTGTGCACCAGCTTCTAGGTTTCCATTCTGCCACGGGGCAAGTCTCTTTGGTGGCTCTTGGTAATCAGTTGTAAAATATAAACAATATTAACTGTCTTTCCTACCTCAAGGGTTGTTGTAAAGACCAGATGGAATGTTATTGATGCCATGTATTGGAAAACTCAAGCTCTTTCACTTGGTAGGCAGCATGGAGGCGCTGAAGCGACTTCATGTCAAAAGCCCCAGCTCCAGCCTGCGGTTTCTTATCTGTAAAACCAGAGGGGCGAGTGGGATCAGCCCGCTAAAGGCTGGAATCTCCGGGAAAATCCTCCTTAAATCCGCGTTCTGGTGCGTGCAGGAGGAAGCAGGGAAGGGAGGGGAAATCTCGTGGGCCGTTCAGCATCCCCCTCCCCTGCTCCCTGAGGAAACGAAGCCGCCACCGGACCGGAGCAGAGCACGGGGAGGGAGGGCACCGAGGCCTGCCAGGCGGTGGCGCCGGCGGGAGGCGCGGTCCGGCCGGCCCATTTGAGCCACGTGCGGTTGTTTCCGTGCCGGGGCGGTCACGTGAGCCGCGTCAGCTGACCGGTC